CTCTCAGGGGCACACAGCACAGTATTTGGGCCACAGGTAAAGGAAATTTAAGCAGTGTTTGTACTCTGACTCTCCTAACCTGCTCTGAGGGGCTGCAGTGGTCTCACATAACTTCCCAGGAGTGCAACACAACTTGGTTTCTCTATAAAATGTTGCATGCCACAATTCTACTCAACCATGTTTCACTTTCCTTCACATGCCTCTGCAGCAAGATTTACGTTGGAAGACAACAGCAACTGGTTTTGGTTACAGTATGTGAGCCAAAGAAATCCTCTGTGCAGAGCCTGTTCTGTGCCCATTCATGTTCTGGCCCATCTCCTTCACCAAAAGAAGAACCCAAAAAAACAAAGAGGAGGAAAAGTTCTTAACCCTTCAACACATGCACATTGTAAACTCATTACTATAGCAGTGCAGTAAGAATAATATACCGTTCCAAATAACCACTCTGTCATCAAACAGCTGGTAATGACAGAAAGACAAAAGTACTGTCCACATCCCACCCATGCAACAAGAGTCATTGTTCCCAACTGCTTGGGCTTTATAAGGGATTTGAGATTGTTAGCATGTAATTGAAGTAATTATGGACTGAATGCAACAGGAAACAGATGTCTGAACCTCTTTTTAAATAATTACAAATAACATTTCCTGAGGCTTCAAATGCCACTCCCAAAAGTACCAAAATCACTCAGATGGACTTGAAAATTTCACCCAGCTTATTGAACAGATTCAATAAGGTTCAATGTGTGGAGAAAAGGGTCAAATTAAGGGTCATGAAGATGCAATCAACCAATAGTTTTCTGTCATTTTATGAGATTTTATGCTGATTTTTATGAAGTTAACTTATAACCAGCTCTTCACAATTGCTGTAACTTCTAGTACAAGTTACTTTCGAGTCCTAAAGTAGCTGTTAATGTACAAGATTAATTTACAGCATTCAGCAGAAATGTGAGCTAAGGCAATGTAAAGTCAGAGTCACATTCATAAGGAAAATATTTTGCTGTTTGGACAGAGGCATGTTTCACCTCCATGCATAACTGGTCAGTGGGCTGAGGGTAAAGATAAAGAGATTATTCTCCATCCACACACTGCAAAAATTCAGCCTTCACTTAATGGAAGGACATATTTAACACTGTATTTTCTAAAATAATACTAAAAGAAATTGAATTAATTTTACCTTTTTTTTTTTTTTTGGGGGGGGGGCAAGGCCTTAACAATAATCTGCTCAAAGTCTCCCAAACTTAAAAGGCTTCTTGTCTAGGTCGAACAGCAGCAGTAGCAGCAAGTGTGAGTTAACCCAGAAAATGGTAATTTCCTGTCAAGAGCCCTCCAACAAATGTCGCTTTTATATCTGGCAATGCTCACTAGGCCCCAGTGTTTTGAGTTCAGCATGCTTAAGCACTCTTCATCGAACCGGATGCAGAGTGTGAAAGGTGATTCAGGCAGCATGGGCCAGCATCCGCCCAGATGGCTATGCTTTGGACACTCCAACAAGGCTGAATAGATGCTTCATTGGGTGACTTAACAGTCAGGCAGGGGCCAATGAATACTTAAAAAATATTGTCTTTCAATAGTCTCTTCACTGTCAGAAAAAGAAGTCACTGACTCATTTGCGATTAGCTGACCTACCCTTACGAAACTTTCCATCTTGCAGTCAGTCATGACAGAATTTATTGTAAAATGCTAGATATTTAGAGTCCATGTTATTTTCAAGCGATTATTCCTTTTACATTCATGACACATTGATAAACACAGCTGCATTGGGTGTACTTGATGGAAAGGAAAAACAGCACACTGCATCCTGTCCCCTCTTGCACAGGCACTACCCTTCATTCCCAGCAAGCCTTAGCATGGCCTTTTGGCTGCTGATAAGAGGAGGAATAGCTTTCTTTTGCAGTGCAGCCTGAAGTTCATTCTGTCAACCAAGACTTCATTCCCCTAGTGGCACAAGATTTGTGCTTCCGAACTACCAAAGAGGCTTCATGTGGCTTCCCCATGCAATGCCGGGTACCGCAAGGAGATCCGCCACAATAGTCCCAGAGCTCACTTTCTTTCTACTGCTCATAGATGAATGTTTTTTCTTTCTACTGCTCACAGATGAACGTTTTTTCTTCCTACTGCTCATAGATGAATGCTTTTGCAGTCTACAAATTATCAATAGCAAATTATCCTGGCTGAAGCCAGGGCTTTCTCTTGGCATTTGTAAGGGGCATGAAAGCAAGTAAATCACAACCTGTTTCACAGCCTCAAAGGAAAATTGCACTGAGTTGGGGTGGTAAAGGCTTCTGGTATGGTTAAAACCACAGTAGATCAATTATTTCACTGCAAAGAAGACAAGAGATCTTCATTGATGCATTATGGCAAAAGACTAGGTTAATCTTTTTGGACATGTGTTCTTTAGTACAAGAATCTACAGTAACTTCAAGTATAGACCAATGGGTCATAAAGGCAAAGACCAGGATAGTTGGTAACCTAGTAAAATGCTACTGAAGACAAAGAAAAGAGTTTTTAGCTTGACCTACATCTTACATCTTCACAGGTAACATGTAGAAAACATGTTAAAAATATTGTGTGATGTGTTTTTGTCCCAGTCATCATTCCTGGTCCTGACACCTACCATCTCAAAGCATTTTGTACACAGTCGTTAGTGGTATGCTCCAGATCAGCTAGGAAAAGCATCTTATGGATTTGACAACTATGCAAAAGGGACTTTTCTTCAACTTGAGCCAAGCTAACTGATAGATTATATCATGCAGCAGGAGGAAGAGAAGAGCCATCCCCTGAGGACTGCTCATCTTCTGTCTTAAATATTTATCTTGAGGTCTGGTAAACCCTTACAGTGGCTGTAGACAGAGCATAGATGACTCACTCATTTTTTTAGATGCCTGACTTTTAATAATTAAAATTAGGTGAGAGGAATTCTACTCTGAAGTTATAGTGACTCACAAATCAACTTGTCTCCTCTGTATTCATTATGGCAAGAGCTTTGTTCATGCAAAAGCAGGTGGCAGGCACTAGCACTAAAGTGACTTCTGTGTATTGCCAGTGCAGACCAGAAAAGCAGACTTAGACTGCTTACTTGCAGGTTGGTTGTCTTCTGACAAAGTGCCCTGTCCTTAATTAATGAGTTAAAGATGTAAACCATGATTCTAAACTCAAATCACCTCAGTTAAAACTTCAAAGCTTGAGTTTCACTGTTCCTGGTCACTGGAAGCTTTCATCTTCAGCAAAAGCTTTTGGAAAGCCAACAAGTCTGAAAACTTGTTTTTTCTGCAAAGGAATATAAGGCTTTCTGTGCTCAGTGTATACACTCTGCTGAACTTTTCTGCTGAAAAACTGCAGTACCGGCAGTGAAGTGTTGGCATTTCAGCATGGTGCTGCCGTTCAACAGCCTGTTCCAGCAGCTGACTGCACAGGTACCTCCTGTCTCTGTGGCAATGAGAGACTGCTAAATAACTCATTATACAGCTCTGATGTCTTCCCTCTCGTCTGCCAACTGGCCTGTCTTCCCAGGACATGGAGGAATGTGCTAAATAACTAACTACAGTACAGAGAATCATAGAATCAGCCAGGTTGGAAGCGACCTCAAAGATCATAGAGTCCAACCAGTATGTTGGTTAAAAAGAGTCTTTGTTTTCTCCTCTCTAATTAGGAGTGGTGAGCTTGTGGCTTTGAGCTGCCTGAGGCTTGTGAACTGTTTGGACACATTCGCCAAGGCAGGACTGCCTTGCTGGCTGTGGTCTGGAGAGAGACAGCACTAACTCTTCATGGAGACATTTTTGAAATTGCCTTCGGTTTATGCAACAGTTGCTTATGCAACTGATTAACCCTGGGCCCATCCTGCAGTGGAGCAATGTAATGAGATCCTTCGGGAATCACTGCCACCTCCCTCCCAGGAACATGTATGGCAGCTCTTCCCTCCATGAGCTTCCAAAATACGGGGCAGGAGGTTTACAGTGCTCAGCCACATAAAGTTTTGGCACGCAGCTTGCAAGGTTTCTAAGCATCAGAAGATGCTTAGAATGGTGACAGCACTCTAGTCAAAGAAAAACAACCCAAGAGAAAGAAATTTTAAATTATGACACATTATTTTTCACAAAAGGTATGAAGATGTAAAATGTAGAAGCTCTGAAGATACAGGGCTGGTCAAGGGGAACAGGGATCCTAACCACCTCTGTGATTCAGATACATAATAGGGGGACAAACAGGGAGAGCCATTTCTTAGACACAACACACAGATGTTCCTGCAGGACAGGCAATAAGATGAACACGTGTTAAGCAAGCACAATGTCCTTTCTGTTGCTGGCAGCCTGTGGCTTTAGAGGGCAAAAGCTGCTCTCTGTTTTCCTGCCTATCCTGTCCTCAGCACATCTCCTTATTGGAAGGCATTTGTCAAACTTCTTTGATTTCTAGTTTCCGACCATCACTACGAACAGCTGGGGAATAGAGAGATTCTGCTTCTGCCTGCTTCTTTTCATAAGTTCTCCAAGTGGCTGCTCACTCTGAGGTTTTCTGCTGTTTCATGCTGGTTTTCTGCAGAAACTGGCAGGATGGCTTGTGAACACTTAAAAGAGGAGTCACCATCTCAGCAGCAAAGATTCTTTTGTTCTTCTCCCTCAAAACTCAGTCCAGTGACTAAGAGTTAGGAAATTCGTAAAGTAATTAGTTAGTAAAGAGCAAGTTTTCAAGTAAAAGTTGCAGAAAAGATTCAATTAATTCAATTTATTTTTCTGCTCCCAGCTAAAACTGCCAGTACCTAGCTCTAAATTAATTCAACATTTAAAAGCAGTGACTGTTTGCAAGAGTTGCCCTGAAACTTTGGTTTACTGCAGACACTAGTATACCTGATATTCCACCTTCAGTATGATACCTTGTTGCTGAAGAGCTGATTTTGGCTTTGTGAAACACAGAATTGTGTCACCACCAGCCTTTATTTCAAAAGTATGTGGCAGATTGTTCTTTAATTGGTTTCTCTTTGTTTCATTGGGGTTTGTTTCTTGCAGTATCCTTTCAATGGCCCAACGTCAAGAATGGAGCCCTGCCTGATGAGCAGCACTCCCAGGCTGCATCCCACACCAGTGACTCCTCGCTGGCCAGAGGTCCCAGCTGCAAACTCCTGCTACACCAGCTCATCCATGCACTCCACAAGATATGGAAATTCTAGTGACATGTACACGCCCTTGACGACACGCAGGAATTCCGAATATGAGCACATGCAACACTTTCCAGGCTTTGCCTACATCAATGGGGAAGCCACCACAGGCTGGGCTAAATGAAAGGGACTGGGATCAGCTAAGCCCACATACTTAAAAGAGTTATAAAAACTTCTTGTTATGTGGGACTTTTCATGGACATTCTCCAAGAGAGGTGAAGATGGAAAAGATCCTGGGCAGGTAAATGTAGTTCATGATGTGGGCAAGACTGCAGATTGGTGTGACTGAATGTTCCTGTAGCCAAGAAAGACTTTTGTGCTGTTCTAGACCACCTTTTGGGCCAATCTGTGCCTTTTTAAAAAAAAATTCTGGTATGAGGGCCAATCCTGTGTGCTGTCAGTTTGAGTGAACCATTTTTGACCCCTCTCTTATTGACAAATGTTAATCAGTCTGACAAAAAAATGTACTGGAACAGAACCTATTTATAATTTGAATTAAAGCCAGGGAATTCACCCTCAGCAAAACTTATCTGTCATCTGTTCTTCTTTTAAGGTCTTCATACATTCCTTAAAAACCATTCTGCTAAGTCATCACTTGCTCGTACCAATTCCTCTCTCTGGCTCCTTAAAACAACGTAGGTTTCAGTTTACACTTAACTTTGTATATTGATGCACCTTTCTGTTAATCCAGTAAGTTTGATCTTTGCAAAAGAGAAGAGACATGTAGCATTGAATTATACACTGCCTTAAGTTGACTATTGTTCTTATTATATATGTATTTGTGTTAAATTTGCACAATCTGGAAAAAATCTAACTTCTCTGGTCAGTAATGACAAGGTAAGAAGGGACTTGGGGACTGGGAAGATTTTGGATTCAGAGCCACATATGTTAAATATGATGCTATGAAGCAATTATATAAAGAAAATTACAATTCAAACATGATTATTTGCTTCATTACCTATTGACAGGTATGAAACTTCTCTCAACTCCTTCACGTGGTGATAATTCTATATACGTCTGCAAAAGCAACTTCAAAGCTGTGCCTTTGAACTTATTCTGTACTGTGTATGTGTGGAAAAATGTATTGTATTTTGGGGAGAATTTTTCTTAGACATTTCCTGTCAGATTTGTAGCTATTTGTGAGTTTTTGTTAGTTTTTATTAACATAGCTTTTTCTTCTGTATTATAAAACACACCAAGCAATTATGGTGGACCTATTACCCTATGGGTAAGAAATAAATAAATGGAAATATGACAACAGGCATTTTAGTAATTGTTTTGTAAATAAAATCTTTGATAGCACCCAGTGTGATGATAACCATGTTTATGCCTAAAGTGGACATAAGTGTTATTTGTACAGTTGTGCAAGATATATGAGAGATTTTCACACCCAAATAAAGTTCATGAAATTAAATAAATGCCACTTATATTGACTTAAATACAGAAACTTCTACCAGCTGCAAACCTTCAAAAAATCTTCAATGTCATCATATTATGTTTTTATCCAACAAAGGACTTGAGAACAGATACAACTCAAGGCAGATGAGTGGTCCTGTGCCTGTACTTGCAGCTACAGACTGCTCAAGGCCATGACTGGATGGATCATAGAATCAGAGAATTTTAGGGGTTGGAATGCATCTTAGAGATCATCAGTCCCAACTCCCTGCCCTGGGCAGGGACACCTCCCACCAGAGCAGGTTGCTCAAGGCTTCATCCAACCTGGCTTTGAACACTGCCAGGGTTGGGGCACCCACAGCCTCCCTGGGCAACCTGTGCCAGTGTCTCACCATCCTCATAGGGAAAACTTCTGCCTAAGACCTAATCTAAATTTCCCCTCTTTCAATTTGTACCAGTTGTCCCTTGTCCTGTCACTTCAGCTCCTAACAAAGAGTCCCTCTGCATCTTCCCTGGAGCCCCTTCAGATCCTGGAAAGTGAGCTCTCCACGCAATCTTCTCTTCTCCAGGCTGAACAGCCCCAACTTCCTCAGCCTGTCTTCAGGAGATGTTTCCCTATTGCTTAGTTTAAGCCCTGCTGTTGTTGTTCTCCCAAGGCACTGTATTCCCTGAGGCAGGTAAGATGTGCTATCTTCACAGTCCTAGTAACAAACACATCACCACTGTGGTACTGGGAAAGAAAAAGTCATTTCTCCTTAGGTAAGTAAATAAAACGGCAGAATTCTTAGACCTTGTCTGTTTAACTAATAGGTAATCTGGTGAGGGCCTGGGGTCTAAAGTAGCTAGAGGAATGTGCTGGAAATCTGCAAGGACTGAGGGAGAAAGGAAGGATATTCCGGGCCCGGTCTGACAGGTGTCCAGGGTCTTAAATATTCAGCCAAGGTCCTGGTGGAATTTTCAGAAACACACCAGGAGTCAACCTCCACCTTCAGGCGATGAAAATCTTGCTTCCTTAGTGACACAGACCTTCTGAAATTTTGCCCCTGTCACCTGGAGTTATTACCCAATATACTTTTGCTCTTCACTTTTATTAAGGACAGAGATGATCAGGCTTAGGCTAACTCAGCTATTTTATTCAAGTTACCTTCAGGCAAAATTGGCACTTGTGAAGCAAAGCCCCATGAAGAAATTTTTCCAATGGCCTTTTTCTTTAGCAACTGGAGTTTTGGTGAGTTTGAGAGGAAACTCCTACCTTGCATTTTGTTATTGAAGATATTTAAATCAAAGCATTGATTCTGGCCCATTAATTTCTAACAAGCAGAGAAATATCTGCCTTATCAAATCTGGGAGAAATTAGTGTGAGAAAGGTGGTGACAGTAGAGTAGAAGAATTTGCTTTTTCTCCTACAAACTCCAAATCCCTGCATTGCATTGCATCTGACCAGCGCCCAGTGTGACCCTGATCACTCATTCATTATTGCTGAAACATTGATCCATCTCTACTTACCTAATGGACTCATGATCATGTAACTACATAAATGTTTCTGAAGAAGCTTTTATACACCCTGCCAAAATACTCACTCTCGTTTCACTTTCTCGCCTTTTCTTTTTCCCTTTTTTGCTTTCTCTTTTTTCTTCCTCTTTTTCTATTTTTTCTTGCTCATGTTCTGCCTTTTTTTCTCACAATGAATACACATTAAAATTATGATATTTTTCATGGACTAAAACAAAACAAATGATAGATATATGTAATAGATACAATAGAATATAAAGCGATATTATATATGTATACACACATAAATATATAAGTCTATATGCCTATAAAAATCCATTACAATTCCTCAAGATTTTTCATTACCAGGTAGAAAAAAGACTCAGCAGGGGAAGAGCAGTGAGAACTCCATTCAGTAGCATGAATCCTGTTCTTGTCAGGCTACCTCTTGCTGCTAAGGTCACTACCCTTTGACAAAAATGGCCTCTGACCTCCCCAGCCCCACAATTCTGTTGTGACTGACCCCGAAACCCATGAAATTCAGGGGCAGACATTGCTTTGGAAGGTTTGGATAAAGCTGACTAACATGGGAAGGGCTTGTGGTATGCACCCATCTGAAAAGGTCTGGCAGTCCTTTGGCAGAGGATGCAATTTATTCTGTCCCCTTCTTTCACTGAAACCTTAATCCTTCATATGCTACAGAAAGTGGAAACTAAAACACACTGATGATGAATAACGATGTACCGTTAAAGGGCAGCAACAGTTTCCTAGTCTATTTTTTTTTAGGGTTTGTAGTTAAAGAAAAGAATTGACTATGTACAAGTAAAATGAGTGTTTTGCTGTGCTGTGAAGTAAATCTACGCAGGACTGTGCTTTATTATAGACTTGTAAATCCACCCAGCAAAGGATTATTTTTACTGGGTTTCTCTCCAAAGCTGCATTCGTGCACACATGGATGTTCCTCAGAACAAGTGGCCACACATTGGGATGGCTGAATTCTGGTACTCCTTGCAGTCCAATGACCATACTGTTGTGGTTTTATATCAAACTTCAACCCATTGTGGCACAAAACCCCTAATCAGAAAACTCAGATCCTGGTTTGGGTCTGCATCTTAAAATACATGCAGGTAAACACCAACACATCTCAGCACCTCCAGCGCTCCCTGCAGCCACTGCCCATCTGCAAGTGCAACCTCCCTGCCCAGTGGTAACTCTCTGCCGTGGGTGAAAGGTTTCTCCTTGTGATCATGAAGCATCTCCTGAACTGAAGGAATCAATTCTTCAGTTAGACACTAAGCACAGCTCCCTCTGAACTAGTAACTTCAATACATCATTTTCTGCTATCTGCACAGTGAAATTTTATTATAGGGCACCTTGAGTACGGAAATACTATGGATCTTCTCAGTCTGTCTTGCACAGAACATCCCCAAGAACCACACCACGTGCCTGAGCGCACCGTCCAAACATCCCAGACCGGCTGGCAACGCTGTGTCTGATGCACCCCAGGACACGATGTCCCTCCTGGCTGCCAGGGCACATCGTGACTCATATTCAACTTGCCATGGACCAGGACTCCCAGGGCCCTTTCCACAGTCGCGTCCCAGCCTGCCGGAGCCAGCTCCAGACGCGGAGCTGTGCGGCCGCACCCAGCGCAGCCCGCGGGCGCTCACGGGACTCGAACCCGCGATACCAACCCCTCCCCGGCAGGCACAC